ATTAAAGTTAACAGATATTGTTCTAAACTGTATTAAAGTAAACATGTATTATTGGGGACTGTTTTCAAGTAATCCTATATATATATATATATATATAACCTTCTCACTCACACTCACTGACCTAGATACCAGCACACACACATATTCTTTTCAGCACACACACATTCTTTTCAGCACACACACATATTCTTTTCAGCACACACACATATTCTTTTCAAGGTCCTTTCTGGGCACCAATATATCTGTGTACAATGTTTGATTGTCTGGGAAAGAATAGTTTGTGTGAAATATTCCTTGGGAAAGTAAAGGAGTGAATTAAGGTGCAAGATAGAAGATTGATTCTGTCCTTGGGTAGTTCCGAAGCTCTCACGCTCTGTTCAGAAGTAAAATACATTTTTCCCAGAACTCTGATTCGCTTAGGAGTGAAATCGACTGCCTCCAAATCTGTCTATGTATACTGATGTTTATCCATCCACGGGGCTTCCTGTTTCTGACTGGCTGGTCCCGATACCTGTATCGCACGGCAGTAGAACTGGAAGTCCGGAGTACTCTGTAACTTGTATGGGTTTTCTTTACCATTAAAATCAATCAGATTATTGTTATAACTTTTAAGCCGGTGTTTTGAACTCCTTCTTCTTATTAATGTGACCAGGCTCATCTAACGGACGGCGCGGAGCAGAGGTGGGCTTTAAGCCACCACCACTGTTTTATGTTTGCTCCAACACTTTCCACAAGAAAAAAGGCGCCATTTGGACACGGTCCCTAAGTTAGTATTTCTGATGTGATCTGCTTCATGACCTTGTGTTTATATCTGTTCGCTGCTGACAGAAACACACTGACTGTGTATGTGTTACCTGTTGAAGGTGTTGTAGTGCTGGGGGAAACACTGCACCATCAGGTTCTTCACAACGATCAGGTCATCCAAAACATATTTCCTGGTTATTTCTAAAAGACGAACCAGCCACATCTTATCAGCCTCTCTGGTCACTGACTGGGTGCCCTCAATGCGGGTGCTGACCGTCCCCTCCAACACCTGCAACACACACACATCAGGATCTCAGGAACACACCCAGGAAACTGCTTTAGAGTCGCTACGGTTTCCCAGAAAACTACCTCTTACCTTAATGTTCTAAACGTTCATTGGCCTTGTCTGATTCTGCAGCTAAACAAATATAATATTACCATGAATCCTAAAATGTCCCATACTTTCAGTTTCACAACACGTAATTACTTTGTTGAAATGCTTTGATGAGCGATAACACTGGAAACATAACGAGGCTGCTGGAAGCTGGACCTGATGTCTTACAACACTGAAGGTTTAGAGAAGGTGTTCACACTGTAGGCCACCGTCAGTTCTGCTGAACTCTCCCTGGCTCTGCATATTCAAATGATTCTTAGGCTGGCAATAAACGTATTTGCTTTTAGTCAGAGCGTGCCTACACTTCAAAAACAAAAAACAGAGTAGCCAACTAAAGATTAAGATGGACGTTATAGCTGTTCTCTACACGAGGCCTACTTAAATGAACAATAACATTCTAATATTTATAAAGTCTAATATTGAATCAATATAATGTTATAATGTGTATTTATAAATAGATAAGAATTAGCGCAAAAATTATTAAACATTTACATTTCATGTCTTAGTGTTAACAGTAGCAATGTACAAGGAAACCCTACTGGTGGTGACATCATACACACACACATCCATGTTCCAATGAGGGCTGGGACAAAGGCCTCTCAATCATGATTCTGACAAGAATCAGGCTCCATATACTTTCCATACATAAACATAGGACATTATAGACCTGTCTGCTGTGTAAATGTTTGTGAAGAGAGAAAGGAACAAAAGAAGAGCAAAAATACTTGCTAGAAAATGGATAGCAGCTATTTGTGTGGAAGGAAAAGTCTGGAGTTAGGTGAGCAGGAAAAACCTAAAGTGTTGGACTAAAATCTAGATTAATTATTTTAAAAAAGGGGGAAGAAAATAATAAAAGATAGGAGGCTTGTTAAATATAAAATAGAAGGGTTGTATAAGAATAACAAATCTAACGATGAATAAGAGAGTAAGTTGGATGATGACAAAGGATCAAAAAAGAGTGAGCCAATTCATGTTCTTCATAATTGAGTAAGATGTATCCTCTGATCCTCCTCTCACCTCGAACATCTTGTCCTTCCAGCGTTTGGGTCTCCCAGGAGGGATGAAGCCGCTCTGCTTCTTCCGGTCCACCATACGCCGATCGATCTTCACCTCCCGCTCGATGATACGAACCACCGACACCAGCATGGTAGGGTCCCGGCGGACCGTCACCATGGACCTCTGCAGAACCATCCACAGCTGCTTGGCCAGCTCATCGGAGAGACCCTGAACCTGGAGATCCACAAACACACTAACTCTGAGTTCTGGTTCGCTAGGTAACATGTAGGAAGACAACTGTGTCCACCAGAAAGGTGAACTATGTTAAGCTTAAGACTTAATCAGCTCGTAAACGTATAACTTATATTTGTACAACTATACAATAATAAGGTTCCTTTTTTACAAATAGATTAATATTATCAATTGAGCAGGGTTCATTTGACTTTATCTATGTTTTCATTACGGCAGCAAGAAGACACTGTTCACTGCAGCTAGCAGTACAAGGCCCTCCTTCCAAAACTTGACATATTCTTTACAGTTTTAAGTCAAAAAGGAGAAGTTGTGAAAAGAAAAACAAATGAGCTGCTGTCATGTTATTGTCTAAATATTCTACAACTACACAACACATTATGAAATATTAAATAAAAGCATTTAATGCCAGCCAGTATCCAGGTCCAATAAATAAAGTGTTGGCATTGTGAAGTGGCATGGAATTATGGCAATTGTTGCCTTCACAACCATACTTTAAGATCCAGACGTCCAATGACTAAAATCCCTTATAACGTTACAAGTATAGTAAACAATCACCAATATCAAAATGTGTAATGCAAAAATGTGGTTTAAAACAGGATGAAAAGTATGCTGAAACTTGCACGAAGGATATCTGATGCCATTAGAGGAGAAAGAATGAAAGCAAACATTTCCGTCATTAAAATGTCTATGGGTTTGAAAATGGTTGGAAGCATTTAAGAAAATAGAAGTACAAAACTTTACAAAAAATAATGCAAAGGTCAAGAGGTTTTTAGAGATTTAAATGCTGACATACCATATTATACCTTCAAGTTACTGTCAATGAAAGTCAAACATTTATAACTGAGATGTACGATGATCAGACATTTCACAGTAACGCTGACGGCCGGCACCGCCCCTATTTTTTTTAAGTGGCATCATGTAAGTTGCGCTGACAGGCAACAGAGGTCCACAGTTGCGCTGACAGCGAGGCTCCCCCGCCCTCCCGTAGACAGT